GGTGACGGTGGAAAATCTAAGAGTTTCTGGCAGCATTCTCATTGTTAGGAGAGCTAGGGGAGGAAGAGGAGGAGGATGAAGGAGAGAAGTTCATTCCTGATAACCCGGGTGGGTCTGTGGCCGTGTTCTGTCCACTTAGACTCTTCCTGCAGACAGGACAGGTATCATGCTGTGGAAAAAAAGGATTAATGAGACTTTAGATGTTTCAATACGAAGGAACATGGTATATTTGGATACAAAAAATATATACTAAATTCTCCTACATACATAAGAAAAATACAACCCTGTATCCAAGCTTTTCTTTGCCAATTTCATAAAGTGTTATCGTAGTGTTTTAATTTATAAGAGTAAAATGTTTCTAAGCGTTTTGAATGTATTTTTGTAACAATACAACATCACTTAGGGGATTCACCAGAGGTATGTTTGAAACTGGAGGTGACGCATCAGTTTGTTTAACCCAAAGCATCGCTGCTTTTTTTGCATACTGTCACTATAAATACATTTAACAGAAAATGCAGGCTGCTGTTTATTTGTGTCACCCTGCGGTTGACTTGCTCACACTGCAGCACGTTGAGAAAAGCGTCAGATGTTTTCACAAAGCACAACGGTTATAATAAACAAACTAGCTCACACAAATTTGGCTTTATAGCTGGATGTAGCTGATACCAAACAAAAGATAAATGTCTGATACAAATGTTGGGGATGTACGTACCTGTTCCAGCCATGGCACTATACAGGCATTGTGAAACAGATGATTGCAAGGCAGCTGTCTAACATTCTCCTCCACGCTGTAGTCTTCTTTGCACACAGGGCACTCTAAACAAGCACCTGCACAAACAGAAAACCACATGTCATCGGTCTGTCCGTGTGAGATAACCGCCATCGAAAAAATTGGTCACACTGGCTCTGTGTATCTGACTTCAGGCAGTGTTGCAAATATTAAATTCAAGTTCTTCAGAAGCACTCACAAGAAGAACTACACATATAAATATAAATAAATGCAGAATTCTTCCCACTTTAGTCTGTCTGTTGGGATAATGATATGCAACGAAAAAGGAAATTGTAAGAGTCACCTTTTGTTGTTAGCCTTGGTCTCGTTATAGAGAAAATACCGTTATTGAAAAGCTGACAGCCTGTGCCAGTCTAATACGAAGAACCACACTGATCATAGGGAGAATTTTTCTGTTTCGTTCTGGCAGATTGGTCAAAAAAGCTGTTGCCGTTGCAGGATGGTTGAGAGATAATTACTGTGTATCAATTTGGATACTTCTGTACACTTCCATGAAGTACATTGTGTGCACTTTGTACTTGCGTGGGTAGAGTTTGCATTTCGACAGGGTAATGCAGGGTATCCGTGTTGATTGTCTAAACCACAATTCTGGCCCGCAGTTAAATATCTGCCGGCTCGTTTGCTCACTTGACAATTGTAAAAAACTGAGTGCAGTGTTTACAGCTTAAAAGGCTACAATTAAGGAAGAGAAATGCCAGTGTTCCACGTCCTCTTTTTGGCTATTATTATTGCACCATCCTCACAGTGATCTGCATTTAGCAATACATGCCATTGTGAAGTTATTTTACACTTAATTTAGCTTGTCTAAATACGATAGGACAGGAATGTAGACACAGCACATGAGCGAGTAACTGTAAGAGAGAGAGACGTGGACTTACCCACATGTTCCTCTGTGATGGTCACTGTGGGTAAACTCTTTATCCGTTCCCTGTCTGCAGGAGGCGGGCCCGTGTTTTCAAACTGGTTCAATAACTACAAGGGAAAAAAGCAATATCACAATGGATGTGAAATCAACTGCATGACAACAAGGCTGTTCTGTAAATGACAACTTTTAGACATTCACTATCAAAAAAACATACTGTTATGTCTAATTTAAATGACAATTCTTCAGAAACTTTAATCTACAGTCACATTTGGGCCCATAAAAGCCCAATATTTTTGCGCCATCAGAATATTATCCAGATATACTCCATTAAGAAAAAAGAATTCAGACACTGTTGCCGCCAAACTGATATTCAGTATTTTCTCCACTGTCATGACAAAAAACATATCAACATTTTTTTATAAAACCCTTTTTATACCTGTGTAATGATAGCATCAAGTCCATTGGCTCCCCATGCGTAATCCATTGGATTAGAATGTAGCATACCCCTGCAAGACAAGGAAGTAGTGAACTACAAATATATATATATATATATATTATTTTTTAAATCAGTAATATAAAACAAGTTAACAAAAGTGCATCAAAGTTACTGAGAATTACACTTACCATGGTCCCATCCCCATATTTGGCATGGCTGTAGGTGCTATTATTCCATTTACTAACTGCTGAATAATCCTGTAACCGGAAAAAAAACAACACTTTCAACACCTGAAGAAATTCCAATTGTCTTCTTATCTAAATTGCACATATGGAACATCTCTGTATCTAACTATCTATTAATAGTTTTACGATCATAACAATACATTAATACTCTATACAAATGGTACTACTGGATATCTGCCGTTTGTTCTTTATAGGAATAGTAGTTCTTTGTTTTTAAAATGGTAATACTAGATAATAGGCTAATACAGTACTACGAAGAATAACATAACTGTTGTTAAGGAAGGTTCTCCATGTTAAATGCATCTAAACGTATAATGTCACCATATTCTAAAACTGGAAATAATGGTGTTTAATCTAAGTTTTTTACATAACATAAAGCACGCATTACACATTAGCAGCTAATGTTTTCCTGTATTCTCCCTAGTCCCAAAACAACCTTCAACACACACTACTGCTGAAAAAGTCTCACCCCTCTAATGTGGGCACTCCTTCATGGCGCGTACCCTGTCTTCGAGGAACATGTCGACCCCGTGGTTGCCGTGCACTGTATCGTTGCCGCGATGCCATTTCCCTTTCCCTCCCATTTTCTGTCTCTCTGTTGTCCTCTGTGGGTAGCCGCGTTCGAAGGTCGAAGTTTTCATCAAAAATCCCAAGTGCAAACGGACCGTACCCAGAGGGGAATGTGAACAATTGTTGGTGATCCATGCTCTAGAAGAGAAGACAGAGGCAATGTCAAAACACAGCGCAGGGCGATTATGTATCCTGGACCAGCTGATTCAACAACTCACACTGACCTCAAAGGCTGGGCGGTTCTGATCACTGCTGGAGGACGTGGATGCGGACCCATTATCAGTACTGCACAAATACAGATGAGAAGTGGGGAAGAAAGTACAATGCTAAGACTCAGAAATATACTTTATATTAATCGAATTCGTGAGACATACGATTATCAGCCATACCTTCTTTCCTCAGAAAGCTCCTCAATGAAACCTGAATCACAGCGTGGACAGGTGTAGTCCTAACATGAAAATACAAATGTAAATAAGAATGTATACAACATAACTGTTATTAGATAGAACTAGCCAAAACGTGCACCTTTATTCAACAGTTCAGCATAAAAGGCTATCCTTATTAGGGTTATAACAGTTAGAGAAGTGCTAATTCAACTTAATGGTAATTTTAAAGAATCTGTGTGCTGCTTATGAATTGTATTTTGTTATACTGAGAGGTGTTTATAATATTTAATCTACCATAACTGATATAAATGGGGTTGACAAAATAGTAAACATATGTTTCAGTATTTGGCAGTAATGACGCCCCAAAATACTATACTACACACTTAGGACTTGGAAATATCTTGTATTAGACTGCAGTAGTTTTATGTAGGTGAACACATAAGATAATAAAATGGCAACTGGTTCAAAAAATGTCAAATACATACTTTCCTATAAACATGTGTCTCTGTGAAGTACAGACAATGCCTATGTTGAGGTTAAGAATGATGGCAACATTTCCAGATGACTCACTGACAATACATTAAGTTACATGCTGTTAATAACACATTGTGAGCACTTCTAATTAGTAAACACAATATGGTGACATTGTGCTGTCACACAGGTAAACAGCTGACTTACTGCCAATAAAGATACTGTTACTGTAACATTCAAGAAGCTTCCCATGAATGGCTGTGTTACTACTACAGCAGCAATACTGACTGACTGAGACTAGATAGGGCAGCTATTGTAAAAATGTACTTTATATTTGCGGGACAACCACAATAAACATAGAGCAAGACTTATGTGAAAGACATTTAAATGAAACGTGTTTATATTACCAGCCTGAACATCATAACATCGAAACCAAAACGTCCTGTAAGATGTGATTTAGAAAGTGAATCTACACTTACTTCTGTTAGCTAGCAAGATGCTAAAGTAAAACGCTACAAATATGTTCAGCTGTTATGAGTGGGATCTAGCTGATCTTAACAATACCACTATATAGCTGAAATGATGTGTTTAAAAAACACAAGAGTAAACGTGAGTGTACCACCAACTCAATTACAACCACTTCACTGTCACTCTGGACCGTTGTTGTCTATGGGGCTAGCTAACTAGCGTAGCTAAACAGCAGCATTGGGTCTATTTGACTGGTAGTACGCAACAAACACATACAACCACACAAATATAATTTCTCAATATTTGAGGAGGTATAGCCTTACCGGTAGACGCGGGCTGATTTCGGCGGAACACCGGTGACAAAAAAACCGGCAGGGCCGTGGGGGAGCTTCAGCCATTTCTAAGCAGGAGGCTAGTTCGTACGATACGGACGGATAGCAACAAGGGACAACTAAACCTGACTCTTGCAGCGGAAAAAGACGTTACGTTACCATGGCAGGTAGAACGAATTACCGAGGAAAATACTTCCGGTTTAAAATTGCTTTAAAAAATAAAACTATGTAAATAAAAGAAAATGTGTCCTTTAGAGCTGAGATTATAGAGATTATTATGGAATAATAGAGTCTAATTATGTAACTATGTAAAAGTAGTCAGTAGTTTAGTCAGTGTCGTTGGGCTCGTGTGGATTGTAGAGATCCCTGTCTCGATGCTTTTATTCTGGAACATTTACGACCGGAAGTTCTGTTTTAGTATTCATCAGAGGATTCAGCTTTACCAAAGAGCTAGGACTGTAGCAGCGAAAGGCCTTTTTGTAGTACGTGAGCGTATTTTTCCAAATATATTTGTTCTCCAGCTACGACCATGGAACCTGGCGATGCAGGTAAATCTTAACTGTGAATATCACTGTGATGCTTACGCTTACTATGTAGCAGCTGCCCTTATTAAACACTTACGTTAGCCAGGTTAGCTGTTAGCTGTAGCAGTATAAACGCTTGCTTGCTGGCGTAATCATTGAAAACCATTGGCTAGCTGTCGGGTAACATAAACTGGGAAACGTTAGCAATCATAAGACATATTGAAATATGTGTACGTAACTAATACGACACTAATATCCCAGTCTACTTAGTTTTGCAACATTTAGTATCTACGTTTAATATGATAACATCGCTTTAATATGATAACATCGCTTTCCCTAGTTCCCTAGCTTTAAAGTTGTTTGTTTGTTTTGTTAAAAACAAAGCTTTCCTGTATGCTAGTCTGAAATGCAAACGTTGAAGAATACTATTATTAGTAATATCCAGTAATAAAATAAAGTAAATTGTTCTCCATTATCAAAGTGCATTTTGTTATATCTTGTTTTTTTTATTAAGGGACAATTTGCATTTTCCTTTGCAACCCTGTGTCGTATACTGAAAATAATTGACCCAGGACCCTTATGACCTTGAATTGGGTCAAATTTCACAGGATACATATACACAAATGTCACTGCTACATTTGCTCTCTGAACCGCCAGCTGTTTAACAAGCCTTTTGGTGTGCTGATCTATCTTTTTTTTAAGGTCGAGGAGGATGGAGGTCCAAGCCTATCCAGCCACAGAAAAGCAAGATGAATATGAATATTCTCCGCCAAGAGAAGCTGATAGCTCAGAAGAAGAAGGAGATTGAGGCCAGATTGGCAGAAAAGGCAAAAGTGACCGTGCAAACACCAAGCAAACCCCTGCCTCAAAGGTAACAATATAATTACAACTTGCTAAAATGTCGTACATGTTTTGCAGAAATACAATGTACTTTCTTCACTAGATATATATCTCATAATTCGACCCGTGTCTTGTTCAGGCATTGGCTTGAATCATAACAAATGCTGTTTTGCCCAAAATGCTAACTTATATTTACGTTAAAAGTTCATCTTTGGGTGATAACTTAAAGAGTTTACCAGAATACATGATAGTATAAGTGTTTGATGATATCGATTTATCTAAAGTTTCCATCCTAGATTTTCACCACACATTAAGTACAGTGTTTATGTCTAGTGCTTCCAGTCAGTTTTGTTATATCTGAAGGCTTATTGAAACCATCTTTGGCCTGACATTTCATCCATTCTCTTCCCAAAGTTTCCCCATCCTTCAAGGACCTTCCTCAAACAAGTTTGTAAATGATGGAAGCTTCCTACAGCAGTTCATAAGGATGCATAAGGACAAACCCAACAGTGGTGAGTACTTTGATCTGCATAGTTCTGACCAAAACGTTTCTGTTATGTTTTTATCTTATCCTTATCAAAATGAATGCATTACTGTAATGTTCTATGATGAAACCTACACAACAATGGGAATGCTGGAACGCAGTATCTAGTATCCATAAATGTATTGTTTTGTCTTCTCTAAGACACTGATTAACTTCAGTCGGTCTGCTATAAGTCCTTGACAGCTTTACAGTTTGTTTTAAAGAGGGCATCCTGACCCAATTAAAACTTGATTCGAATAGGGACCACTGACATTACCTTGCATTACTTACTTACATTTGTTAATGCCAAATGTTCTGGTTGATAAACAATTCTTACATGTTTTAAAAATAACACAAAATAATGCATTTTACATGAAGGTTCTGATTATTTTTTAAGTTGTCCTGTTTCCTACTCTTTGTTCAGGTCCTACCAGTGATAACAAAACTCCAATAACCTCGACTTCATCGCCAGCAGGAAACGCACTGCAGAAAAAGAGCATTCTTGTTGGCAAGCGGCCTGGCCTTGGAGTCAGTAGCATGCTTAGTCAGTTTAAAAACTACTCCCACTCAAAGAAGAATCCTGTTCTTAGCCAGAGGCCAAGTGTATTTTGTTCTCCTGATGAGGATGAGGAGGAGGAGGAGGAGGATTACTCCAGATACTTAGAAATGAAAGGTAATTCAAGGCCTTTTTCTCTGGACAACTCTATTGCTTGGTCATTTCAAAGCATCTTCTGCGTACTCCAGTGCCTTTTTACTGGCATTTTGTCATGGGTGCCCTTAGAGTAAATATACTGATAGCCTGCTTAAAGTCTCCCCCCCAGAGGATTCAGACACCAGACTCATTATCGACAAGATGGCCTCTTTTGTGGCAGAGGGAGGAGCTGAGCTGGAGAGAAAGGCCAAGGAAGACTACAAGGACAATCCTATTTTCTCGTAAGTTTGAAGGACAGTGAAGCTGACACAGATGTATTTACGTGTAAAGTATTTTTAAACTAACCTGCTTCCAAATGTTATCTTTGCCTTTCAGATTTTTATATGATAAGAGCAGCATGGAGTTTCTCTACTACAAAAATAGAGTTGCAGAATTGAGAAGAGATTTGCTAGGACCTGATAACGCGTCGGATAATGGTAAGAGTGCTACACTTTAGCCAGTTAATTAACATATACACTCATTTGTCCACATTTCTCACCCCTATGTTTTGCCTAATTGAATCCTATTAAGGATTTAAAATTAGAGTACATGTTATGGTTTGAAATTGTGCACAACATTATACATGCAGAGAAGTTTCACTGGTCTTCATTTGTTCCAGTAAAAGCCTTACATCATTACAGTTCCCTATTCACCACCCCCTTCCCCCTTGCCCCTCCCTCCTCTTCTTATCCCCTATTGGCTCTAGACTGCTGGTGTGTGAGGGCTAGTTGAATACGGTACACTAGTAGAGAGTGAGTTGAGTCCCAGTACTGATAGGCTGCTTAAAGTCTCCCCCCCAGTGGACGCGGAAACCCAGCAGTTGGCTGAGAAGCTGGCCAGGTTTGTGGCGGAGGGCGGCCCCGAAGTGGAAGCCATCGCTGCTGAGCGTAACCGGGAAAACCCCGCCTTCAGGTCAGTCAACATATATGTGTCACTGTGTTTTTTATGCTTTGTGTTTTTCTTACAAACCTGCTTTTACACATAATATCTTCTGTCCCTCCCTCAGTTTTTTATATGACTATCGAAGTCCAGCCCACCGCCTCTACAAAGAGAAACTGCAGGAGTATCGTGCTGCAGCCTCGCAGAGCTCCTCCCCTCCAGCAGCAGAGTCGGGGACAGATCTTCAGCGGCCGTCTGCTCCAGCTTTATATGGAAACCCTCCACATCTGAACTCGGCTTCTCAACCCCACACTCAGGAGGCAGGAACTCCGCCCGTGAAACGAAAGAGAAAGAGTCGATGGGGGTCTGAGGACGACAAAGTGGAGATGCACATTCCTCACATCAATATTCCTCAGTGCATTCCTGTTGCAGACCCTGACATGCCATGTCTCTCTGGTGCGTGACCCTGTTTATTTACATTCTACATACCATTGTCCTTATATTTTCCAACCCATACATGCTTATATTAATATGCATATAAGATAATGTAAATATTTTCCCTAAATTGGTACTTCTATTGTTATACATTTTTATAAAATTGCGCCAAGCATTGATTTTTAATATCATATTTGTAATGTACTATTTCAGCCACTATATCAGCTGACCTAATAATACATTTTATGAATATATAAGTTTGTGGTAACTTGTGTTTCAGTCCAGGATCTGAGAGGTCTTGGTTATAAGAAGGGGAAGCCTCAGGGTCTGGTGGGAGTGACAGAACTATCTGATGACCAGAAGATACAAATCAAAGAACAACAAGATGTATGAACCTCTATGTAAATCTACATCCCTGCGTTTTGAAATATACTTACACCCATCCCAAACATTTTTTATTTAATCTCTGTCTATTGCTTTGACTTAATGTGTCTTTTATAAAAGTGGAATAGCATGTTGATGACTGGTGGATCACGCCATGAATTCCTGATTATAAGTCTATGTAATCTGTTAACTGTGGGTGTGTGTCATGTTTTCCCACGCGCTGTAGATGCAAGAGATGTACGACATGATCATGAAGCACAAGCGTGCGATGGCGGAGATGCAGGTAGTGTGGGAGAAGGCCATCAGAGAGCACCAACATGAATACGACAGTGATGAAGAAGTTGACCAGAATGCAGGCACCTGGGAGCATAACCTACGTAAACAGGAAATGGAGAAGACCCGTGGTAAGGCTGATTATCAGTAGGAAAAATGTCTTACTTCTGCATCACCAGCAACTGTTAGTTTTTATAATCAGTTATCATCGAGGTGAAGTTATCAACTGTTGCTGTAAAAAAGCATCTTGTCTGTACTTTTCCAGAGTGGGCAGAATCTCTGACAGATTTGGGTAAAGGGAAACATTTTATTGGTGACTTCCTGCCCCCTGAGGAACTGGATAAGTTCATGGAGACCTTCAAGGCACTCAAGGTAAGTCTTTCTCTAAATTCACTAAAAATACTTGCCTTTATCCTCTAATTTCACTTTTATAGGTAAATTAACTCAACTTCTTAATTGAGTCACAGATTAAGGCACCAAACTAATGTAAATACATTAAGGGGTTTTGAATGTGTAATTGTAGGAGGTGTTTTGTATTCAGAGAAAATAGTTCACCTATTCCCTGCAGGATCTCTTCTGAGTTGTATAAAAGGTTTCATATATCTTTGGTGTAACCTGTAGTAGCTTTTCTCTGTTAAATTAAAAGAGCCATACACAGTTTAGTAGAATCTGTTTGAAATTCTTGTAAACAGGATTGTTATCATCCGTCCATGCCTCTGTTTTCAAGCTGCTTATCCAGGTCAGGGGCACTGTGCTAACAGCCAGCAGAGAAACACAGACGTCCCTTTTCCCTGCACATTCCTCTAGTTCCTCCTGAGATCCCCAGGAGGAGACTGTAATTGCCAATTGTTTATTTGAAAGTCTTTTTGGCATTGTTGTTTTAACCACACTTTTCTAAATCCTTTTAAAAGTTGAAAAACAGAGCACGTTAAAAAAAAAAACAACGATAGAAAGTTATTGGAAAGTCAGTACAAGACCCAGAATGTGTGTTCATACCATTTTGAATGTAATGGCCAATGTAGACAAATGGTTTCTGTACAAAATATTTAAGGTTAGGTTATATTTAATAAAGACCACCAGTGGTGAGTTATGTGGAGACACACCAACCCTGCTGAACAGACTCCGATGACAGGCAGTGTTAAATCAGATAAATAATGGAAGATGTTGCCATTCCTGTGTTAAATAAGTAATCTCCTCATCCTCCTTTTATTTTAAGAATGAGACAAAATAGTTTCGGAGACGGTGGTTGGCGTGAATGAAGAAGTTTTTTATTTTTTACTTGCAGGAGGGCCGTGACCCAGACCTCTCAGAGTACAAAGAGTTTAAGTTGACGGTGGAGAATCTTGGTTTCCGGATGCTTATGAAGATGGGCTGGAAGGAAGGAGATGGCCTGGGAAGTGATGGACAGGGCATCAGGGCTCCTGTCAACAAGTGAGCATTCATCTTCTGTCCACTCGCTTTCATTGCATGTCTTCTTTATTCAGGAGTACAGCTGTAAATGAAATCTAAAACATACATTTTCTAGTTTCCTAAAATAATGACAATCAACAAGACAACATGCACAACACACAGAGTACCAACAGAAACAGTACAAGTGTTTATTCCCCCTAACAATATGTATTTTTTGACTGTAAAAACATTGTTTGTGCGCCAAGATCATACACTCCTTTTTTATCTTGCAAGTCTAGCTGTGCAACTGTGTGTTCCACAGTGTAGTCTTTGTCAGCATTTACACCTGAACAGACCTTTTTCTTAACGTTAGTTTTGTTAGTTTGAAAAGTGCAGTTGAGACTTATAACAATAAACAAACAAATTAAGCTCTGAAGTTACTGTACATAGATAAGAAATGAAATGAATCTTTCTCTCTGTCCTCCTCTAGGGGAACCACGGCTATGAACGGAGCAGGCTTTGGAGTTGACCGTCCCGCTGTGCTCACCAGAAATGACGATGAATACGATGCTTTTAGGAAGAGGATGATGCTTGCTTACCGCTTCAGGCCCAACCCACTGGTAACTTCTTACGCTTTTCTGTTTGTTCTAATAGCATTCTCTGAATATGTATTACATTTAATTATGCCTGTAAAAAAGAACATCCACATTGAATTTAAGTATATGTTATAGAAACTTAACAATTTTTAGCTCTTCCTTTAGTGGCCAAGACATAACATTTGAATTTAATCAGTTTCTTTTTTGTTTCCACAGAATAACCCACGACGACCATATTACTGATGTAAAGGGCTGTTTATGTATTTGCTTGTTCTTGTTTATTATAACTTAAAAGCCGGTTTCTTTAACTGCCACAGCTCTACTTGCTTGAGAAATGGACACTGTTGCACAGTAGACATTTTTAAATTTGAAGTGTGTGACAAGTAGAAAGATTGTTATACTGTCAAGAAGATTGGTATATTGTTTTAAGGTTTTGTTAAAAAAAAGAAGAAATTTTGTTTTTTTTTAAATAACTATTCACCAGTTTTGTTACATTTCAATTTAATACTGTAAAGATGTAACATATACTTGCATCGTCTGACTTCCAGAAGGATTTTCTCACTTCAGTTTGTGTTACCATTGTGTTGTTCACTTCAGAGCTTGACTTGACTTTGCATTCCCAACTATATAACACTGTTCTGCTGTAGTACACAATCTTTTGTATGCATTTTTGATTGCCTTTGATGTCTCTCACTGTGCTATAACTAATCTCTGAATCGTGTCATATGCTCCAGTGTTCACAATAAAAAGAGAAGTCCACTTACTGAAATGTAGAGTTGTCCCAGTTCGGTATTTCTTTACTTAGCTTTTATTCAGTGTTCATTTGATGGTACACCTGTGTGTGCTAAGTGCAGGTATGTTTCCAACTATGTTGATAAGTGCCAACAGCAGGGAGCCATAGAGTGGAGTTGACCAGGTTTAAGCATCCAGCAGTGAAGAGGAGGATGACGGATCAGTGAAATCAGACCTTCAGTTTGGCATTCCCCAGGGTTTTTTACACAGGTTAAATATAACTCAGAAATCCCAGCTAAGCAAGAGACACTCTGGTGGCGGCCACAGTATCAATCGGAGGCAACTTGAGGCATATTAAAAGGTAACCTAAGGCTTGGGTTAGTTAATGGCATGGTGAAGCTTTGAGATGAGGTGCAGCTTACTATCATTCTCATTGTCCATTAATTGTTTGGTTTATACATACATTTTTAAAACTGAAAAATCTTTCTAGAACCGTTTTTGATGTCTGAACTGAACCTTTTTATAGTTATAAAACTGTCTGATACGACAGAAATATAAACAAGCCGGAAACAAGGAACCATGGGAAAATAATGATTATCAAAACTGTTTGTAATGAGTTATTATTTATGTATTTACAGTTTTGGGATTGGATCATGTACTGGACAGATACATATACAACGTTCACAATACAATTAAGAGTGGAGTGGGACAGAATGAAATCACCTCAAATATTATTGTTTTATATTGCCACACATTGTTAAAGAACTAACGTTGCTGAAAGTTGTCAGGTGTTATGGTGTATCCATCCTAAATTCTCCGAAATACCAATGAAATCAGTCTACTTAATAAAATGTAGAGTATAAATTGTCCAGCAAATGGAGGACATTTTCTGCATCCTCCTCAATGTTGTTGTTTTTTTCCTTTATTCAAGAAACTATTTGCACATCAATATTACACACACAAAACATTGAAATCAGGGGTACAAATGTGCATAGTACACTACAAATTAAATATATAGGCCTATATATATATATATATATATATATATATATATATATATATATATATATATATATATATATATATATATATATATATATATATATAAAGAAAATTGTGATAAAACAAAAGGTCAGATTTCAATTACAATATTTATCAAATACACATTTGGATCCTCCTCGATGTGTGGGAGGGAGAAACTTTGATTTGACGCATTAACGTACAGGCTGCTGTCAGTGCGAGTCGGGGGGAGGTAAACAAGATGGCGACAACCTGAGTAGCAAGAGTAACATGAAGAGACAGAAAATGAATCTGATATACTGAGAGACCCAATTCAACCGATTGATTTACCCAGGACTGATTCACAAAGAAGAAAATAAAACAAGATCGATCCGGAACCAGGTGAGACCCGGCTCAGGAGTAAACTAGTTGTCTTGGTAACTAGCTAGCTAGCCGTTTACACTGGGATCTGAATGACTTGTTAGCTAACGCAGCCCCGTTGAGCTCGCGTTAGCTAGACGTATCTGGTTTATTTCTCTGGTGTAACATTAAGGGATGGATTTGATGTAAGAGCTGTTGTAAGATTTGCTCTTCGCTGAGCATTATGCACATCAGTCGGAAATCAATTACCGTATCATACATTGTTACCGTTGCTCCGCCGGCAAATGAGGTGAAGTCAGCTAGCGCTAATCTTAACGTAAGGCTCCGTTAGCTACAGTTGTGTGACGACGTTTCGCTTATCTTCTCTAATTGTCCACCGTTTGTTTTCATTCACACTAAATTAGTTTCCGCTGTTTTAAAGTACTCTTCTTTGTTGAATTCTGGAAGGGTTGCTAAAGGTGTTTATATCGTTAACCACAAAGTGAGAGTGAATGTTTGAAAGCTAGTTCATTCAAGCTGACGTGCTATGTTAGCCTACCAGCTAGCTAACACTTAACACTATATATATTTTTTCTTTTCAATTTATGAACTGAAGTGTTAACCGTGACTCGCATACAATTGTGCGAACTATATTTGCATAAATTATAATCTCATAATGTCTGAAATGGAACCCAGTAAAACTGACCGGCCAAGTGTTGATGTCTAGACACATTGTTTACCAAAGATGGCTAACTAAGTTCATACGCAAACAAAAGCCATGTATGAATTTTCAATAATGTTTAAATGTCCCCTTGTTTTCAGGCACCGTGGTGGCATGGAGGACACCTGAGGACGGTTGGACACATTGGATGGCTCAGTCGACCTCCAGGAGCCGGGCTGATACTGCTGCATGAGATTGGCTGTAGCTCTGTGCTTGGATCCAGTCCAACTGTACACACACACACACTTATGTATCCTGAGGAATCTTATGCTATGAAGCATGGACCTTTGACAGAAATGCTGTGCTGTATGGCCTTGAAGCAGGACTTGTTGCCTTTACCTTAGGCTATATGGTATTATATTCATTTAGAAGTGATTTAGAGCTAAGCAGAATTCACTAATTTCTGATCAACTATACTTGTCACCTACGTAGTACAGAATGCACAGTATAAAGCACTAACTTGGCACTGGACCCAACAGGATCTTCACACATATTCTCACCTCTTGAGAGAAAAGAGCCCTAATGTTTACAAATTGGGATTGATCCCCCACCTCCTCCCTCAGGACTCTTCTCTCTCCCATATTCAGTATTTTGTAGTTGATCTTTATTCCATTTTCTGGAATTGAGACACTCTGCTCAGTGCAGAAAGGTTACCAGTGGATTACTCTCCAGCAGCAATCAAAGCTATTTGCAAACGTTTTTGCACAGGAGGCTTAAGTAACTGTCAGTCATGAGTCTTGGCGAGCTGCATCATCTTGACTATCTTGATCTAACTGAAAGTGAACTGATGGAGATGGATACTTTCATCCACCGCATCGACTCTACAGAGGTGATCTACCAGCCACGGAGGAAGAGGGCCAAGCTGATAGGAAAGTACTTGATGGGGGATCTGCTAGGGGAGGGATCTTATGGTAAAGTGAAAGAGATGCTGGACTCGGAGACACTTTGTCGCAGGGCTGTCAAAATACTGAAGAAGAAGAAGCTGAGGAGGATTCCCAATGGAGAAGCCAATGTGAAAAAGTAAGTGTTTGCCAACCTGTTTTTTTTACCGTTTTTATCCCTTTTCTATCTGCACTCTGACAGTTTAAATAATAACACCAGTGTCACTGACTCCTCACATGTGCAATGGGCTTTATGCAAGTGGCATGGTGTTTTTCAGTTTATAGTCAGTTACCCTGATATGAGTTGAATACTTGATGTTAATATCAGTACATTTGTTTGAATAACGTTACTGAAAATATAAGGGCAGCACTCAATTGCGTAATGAGAAAGGCCCTTCATGCATGTCCGACTTTATTAACACTCCTCCATGTTCACAACTCTTAACTTACAATTACATTACTTAGTTTCAATACAAACACAAAAAAGTAATTTTTTCTAATTCATCTAAATAAGCCACGTTTCTCAAATGCATCCAAAATCTCACATCATATGAAAGAAAAAGGTCTTCTGTGACCTCTTTTGGTTGAAGGTTTCTTGTCTTTCTGACCTTTGAACAGCATCACTGTTGAGTTTGTTTGTTTGTTGCACACAAACGTAGTGCTGTTCTAAGAGTGTAAATATGGCAGGACTGCAAGAATAAAAGCTTTCGATAGTGGACGGAGGATATTCCTCTGCTTCATACATTGACTTTACATTAACTCGAGTCAGTGGCTCAACATTTTTGCAATAACCCAGTTTGGTAAACAAGAAGCAAGAAATGTGACTACTGTAGTTAAGGAAACTGTCACCACAGCTAGACCTTTTCTAAAAAAAACAGCCATCGATTTTCTTGTTCACTCATTACTGTAGTCAATGCAACCAAACATTGAAGTTTATCTTAAACTAATCATTTATACTAAAACTAAACATTTTCAGCCAGTGCATTTTGACACGTTGCAAGAAAATCTATCATTCATTATTTGTTTTACCTAGAAAATCACATCAATTTTTTCTTCGTTGCATGCACAGTAATACATTTTAAAATCAGGCTGTTGTCGGAGTTAATCAGAGTTAATATCCTAAACCTAAATGGAACATTTATCATTTTTTCAAAATCTCTTTGTTCCTGACTCTCTCTTCGGTCTTTATGCCTCTGTGATTGGCTGTCATCTCTACATATTCAAACTTCTTGTCTCCATCCCCTGTTTCCTGATGAGTATCAGACGTTTTAATCACACAGTAGTTTATTAAATATTACTCCAGCCTTTCGCTGCGGGCCTGTGCTAATTATAGAGGAAGCTTTAGAAAACTGTCAAAATGAGTTTGTACCGAGAGAATATGAAGAGCTGCAAGATGGCGTAACTTTTGTCCACAGTCAAAACGGCAGCGGAGAAATGGTAATAAGCTTGTTCTGATGGCTCAGCAAGAATCATTTTGTTGACATTGCATAGCCTGTATTAACAAGGTATCTAGATTAACTTCACTAAGAATATCCCAGAATATTGTGTTAACCATTCAAGAAGGACAACTTAAAGGTTAAGAAATACAATATTTCACCCACTCTAGCTAGTTGGGACTCAAGGCAGCGTCAGCAGCTCGGCGGCAGCAGCTGCAGTTCTCCATCAGTGTGTGGATCCCTTCAGCCACAGTATTGCTTTGCACACGTTACAGTATTTGATGCGAAGTGTTGATTTGAATAAAACTGAAGTGCATCCTTGTAGAGATTTTAAAATGTTGCCGTCATAAAAAGTTGACGAGAACAAAACACAAATGTATAAGCTAAGTCCAATCGCTGGTGTCCACACCCTGGTAAAAAAACTACACCATGGTCTTCAAGATATAAAGAAGAATGAACCTTTCAAGCGTATCTATCAGTTGTTTTGTAAATGACCAATACGGAGAAGCATACAATAACATTATCAAGACAGTCAGTGAGGTCAGTCATTAAAAAGTCCTCCTGAGAAGGTCTCTAAAAACCTATGCCGGCTTTGATCGGTGCTCCATGGCTCCAGGACTAAGACACTAGACACTGTGCATGCTGCTGTTGCTATGTTGAAAAACATCTGAAAGGAAAGCTTTGTTAGTGTTTCCAGGAATAAATGTTAGAGGTTGAAATGTTTATGGCAAAACAGAGAGGGATTCCGGAGGTAAACCCTTTTTCTCTACTGTAGGGGAGAGTTGAGAGAGCCAAAGCTTCACCAAAATTACAGTCCATGTTACTTGGAAGATTGATCAAATATTTTTCATACCTTCATTTCTTTTTTCTCTTCCCCTGAGTGATGAGGGGCTTAGCCTCTGTTCTCGCTTTCCTAGTTTTTTTATCGTGGCTATATTTATATTTTTAGGTCAAAGCTGCAGTGGTAGACAGCACGGTTATGTCACACTGTTGATAAGGCCCCAGCAGTGCTTATTTTATGTGTGAAGTAAATGTGTCTGCATCTGCCTCACTTGATGAAGGCCTTATGTTTCCCAGCGTGAGGAAGCTGGATCCTGGAGCCTGTGAAGGCCCGTCTGTGTGTGGATGTTGTAGTAGCCCCCAGCCTCCTCACTCAGCCTCTGTTTAGCATTCCTGTCTGCCAAACACTTCCTGATTTAACAGGGTTGCTATAGGAATGGGCATGCTCATACCGGCATTGATTGAGCAATGGCACTCCTGTTTCTACGACAACACCCCAAGAAAGCCATGCCCTTGTTTGGAATGACAGGAGTGCACATGGCCAAATACCTTAAGCTAGGCACAGACTCTGGAGCAGCCCAGTGTAGAGGCGGATTCAGATCAGTTGTTGATGTTGCCGCTGTGCCAGAGGAGCTACCATATCGCTGAGTGCTGAAATCCTTTCAGCTCTGCAGCCCACAGGCCCTGAACACACAAGGTCTATCAGCAGCACACATTTGAACTCGGAGACTGCAGATCGACTGCAGCAGTCACTGTGACTTAGTGGCAGCCTCCTTTTTTACTGATTTGTTTAATGGAAACAAGCAGTGATGCTGCATGTCATCTACGCTTGTTATTCAGCTCTATAGTCAAGATGGTATATAGCTTAAATGCTGCTATTCAATGTCGTGACATATTTTAATCATAGTTCTTTTTATGTGTGCATGAGTCAGCTCCCTCTTTTCTAGCAGTGCAGTGATGCAGCAGTAACTGCTTGTGTGTGTCTCTGTGCTAGGAGAAGGACAAGGCCCAGAATATCCGTTTGTCAGTAGCAACACAGACTGTGTACACGGCTGAGGACTGACTCAGCTCGTACACAGCAGGAGGATGAGGGACTGAAAAGCTTCAAAGTGTTTGTTGTGAGATTGAGTCAAAGTAAAAACAAGAAGAGAGATGATGCCTCGGCACTGTAGAGGCTTTCTTACATTTTTGTAAAAAGCAGGCTCCCTTTGCTTGCCATTGCTTCGCACAAAACATCCGATGTAATCCCGGGTAGGTGAGGGAAATCTATTTAAATAACATTCAGGCTTGTATCTACTTAAATTCTAAATATATTCAAATATTATTTCATTGATGTTGTCTGTTAAAATCCCACTTGAGTACTCAAAATTACAACTTTCCTAACCAAAGGAAGCTCCTTCATGTGCGCTCACACTGCACTGTGCTTCACCAGACGTATGCCAGGAAAAGCAAACGAAGAAAACCTCTCGTGAAATGCCATGTGCAGGCTTTGAGGCTCACACTACCACGTGAAAAGTGGAATCCATCTATGTTCATATCACACTAAGAGCAGCATAAGTGGAACTGCTCAGTGCAAAGCTAGTTTGTGTATGAAAAATTCTCGATCGATGAATCAATTTATGCATGTCTTCATCTCGATTCATCATTACACTTAGGCCTGGCCTAATTGAAAGAGCAGTTTATGTGTTCACTCTAGAATGTGCTGTTGGTCGTACTAAAGAAGTTTAAATTGCTTGTCTAAGCAATCGGTGAATAACCACAAAATGGACATTACATAATTCCCCCATGATGTTCAGCTACTGCTAATGAAATGGTGTTACTGGCAGTATAATGTGACGATGAAGGGGTAAGCCGAATTGAATCTCAATCTAATCACAAGATTCTCCTTTCCTAATGGTTGAAAAGCCGTATTATTTCCTGTGTGTTAGTGTGGATGTTAGTATGTCAGTGGTTTGCACTTTGTGCTCCTCCTCTTCACTTTTAATTCATTAGCGTCTCCTCTCACAGCTCTCTGATGAATGTTGGGTCTCCTGGGTGTCTTACCATGCCGATGATTTAAACCTCTTCTCCTCGCGTAGCAAAGTGATCTGTCAGGTTATCTCTCTTTATGAGACCAGTGTAATTGATTTCTGCTGCACTCAGACAATATAAAGTCTTACAGTATCATCCCTGTAAGTCTGAGAGGAGTCTCATATCTGTCTTTATTCTGAATGTAATGGATCTACAAATTTACTTAATTATTACTTGCAAATGTATTTGAATTTCATATAAAGAGACACAAATAGGCCTCCACTGTATCGTGAAAGAGTTTTCGCCTGTGCTGAACAGCTTATGAGAAATGCCAGTTATTAAACCAATAATGAATTCTTGCTTTATACTGCCATGTTGGTGTCGATGTATGGCACTGGACTTTGTCTTACATTTATTTTACTCAGCAAACACAGGCCCGTATTTGTTTATATAGCACTCCCTGTACAATTTAAAATAATGTTTTGCATGTGCTCTGTTCTTGTGTCACTTTATAGGGAGATTCAGCTGCTAAGAAGACTCCAACACAAGAATGTGATTCAGTTGGTGGACGTGCTCTACAATGAAGAGAAGCAGAAAATATATCCTTGCAGTGTAAACTAGATTCCACAAGAGTTGATTTTAAATGTTTGATGACTCGAGATGTTAGATTTTATTGTTACTGTTTGCCATTTAGCAGCTTTTTAACTGGCTCTCTTTATTAAAGGAACTATTTGTTTGGTTTGGCCCCTTAACTCCTGACTTACGTATATGGTGATGGAGTATTGCGTTTGTGGGATGCAAGAAATGCTGGACAGTGTCCCCGAAAAAAGGTTTCCATTATTTCAATCTCACGGGTAAGTGTCTTGTTTTCCTCTCTGCTCATACTCTCTGCTATATTTAGATGAACGCTCTCTGCACTCACTGCTCCAGGCCTAAGTTTAGACCCAAGACTGCAGGGCCTCTGCCGTTAAAATAACTGACCGTAGATTGTGCGAATGTGTGGTCGCTGCTGGAGACCACTGACGATAAATTAATAACGGATGAAGATATATACGACAGCAGTGATAAATTGCTTCATCTGTCAATTCCCTTTTATAACTTACAGTATGAAACACTTCCTACCTTTTGAATCCTGTGTTTTTCTTTCAGGTACTTTTGCCAACTCTTAGATGGCCTTGAATATTTGCACAGCCAGGGAATAGTTCACAAAGACATTAAACCAGGGAATCTGCTGCTGACCACAGACGGGGCACTAAAGATCTCCGACCTGGGAGTAGCAGAGGTGAGCTCGTGCTGCAGCATCGTGTTGTTTACCATCCAGGGGGAATAATACTTTTGTTTGTGTTTCTTATAACTACCAGATTTCCGCAACTATAACATCTATGAATTCCATATTTTAAAAATAAAGCCAATTTGTAATGATGGTTAGTGAAACCTTTATCACAATAGTTATCATTTAGCTCAGATATACACCAACAGCCAGTGGGAAAGCATACTCATGAACTGCTTTTAAGATTTAATACACTTAAATTCATCATGAAAACAAATTATTTGTGGCAGACTTTATATAAATGTCCACTTAAAGGTCACTTGCTATGTAAAAAAACCTTTCTGGAAATGAGCTGATCAGATTTTGGCCGCTTTGTGATGTCACAATGTTTTTTTGGGTTGTGCAACCATTAGCCAATAACCAACCAAGGTAACACCCGCCCACCTTATCGCCTGAATCTCCTCCTAGAGCACCATTGTGTTTTTTCAAACAAATCACTTCGCAGAGGGGCGTGGGGAGTGGCATCTCATTTGCATTTAAAGCTACAGACAGAATCAGCACTTTTGAAACAGAGGGGTTTATGGGATGCTACAATGCATGATCTGTTTGGTATTTCCAGCCAAACACTTCAGAGACATGTTTTGTATATATCTGAGACCTATAATACTTTTTAAGTTGATACATCTACACAAATCAGTTACAGTGTTTCCTACTTATGTGAAAGAAAGGGATGAGTGTAAAATACATTTTGCCGGCATGTTTCAGTCTATTCTGTGATTAATTTTATGATTGAGGTTCTACGGTGTATATACTGTTGCTAAAGAAGGAAATGGTAACACATTTTATAGCTATTTTATCATTCCTATTTGTGGTTATAGAGAAACACTAACTCAAACTTTGACTAATGTTACTAATTCTATATGTTTTAGGCCCTTCACCCATTTGCAGAGGATGACACATGTCGCACCAGTCAGGGCTCTCCGGCCTTCCAGCCCCCAGAGATCGCCAACGGACTGGACACCTTTTCAGGGTTTAAAGTGGACATTTGGTCTGCTGGAGTAACACTGTGAGTAGTCAGAGCCTCCGGTCGCTCCGGTTCTCTGAGAAGATTTATAATCATGTTATTTTAAAGGCTCGATTACAGACAGAAGAGTTGCTTAGTTGTCTTAATATCTGACAGAATTAGATTTTGATAGTATTTATTAGATTTTCATAGAAGGCTTTTGCTAGTCCTTTTCTAGAGAGTCCAAAGAGCAGGAAAGCATTTCTGTTAGCAGTTTGTAACAATTTAGATGTGCTGATAAAGGCTCAATGATTTTTAAGTACCTTGAGACCACTTGAATGTTCCGCCTGTAAGAACCCTGATGTAGGTTTGTTATACTATAGAAATAGTGTGGTTTTAAAGTGATACTATTGTGTTCTCTATTAACATTTTCCTATTTTGAGATACACTTACTTCATTTGTTGATTGCCTCCAACCATTCAGATACAACATTACAACAAGTCTGTATCCATTTGAGGGAGACAACATCTATAAGCTATTTGAGAACATTGGAAAAGGAGACTACACTGTTCCCGAGGAGTGTGGACCCCTCCTGTCGGACCTGCTGCAAGGTGAGTGTGCTATAGAGAAGAGATTCAAGATTCAAAGCTTTATTGTCATATTCACAGTAGCTACAGTGTAGTCATGGCAATGAAAATCTCAAGTCCCCGGCTCCTCCAACTATGCAACATAAACAAATGTATGACATCAATCCCATTGGAGCAGAATACAAATAAAATAGTGGGAGATGAGGATGCAAGGGACCAATGTGCAAGAAGTAAGCTCCAAAAATGTAATACTGTACAGTGGAATAAAATAATGCTTATTGTAACGATAAATATATATGTGCTGTAAAATGGATTCTGCATTTGACCCATCCCAGTATTAGGAGCAGTGGGCAGCCTCTATGTACAGGACGGTGCTTTGCTCAGAGGCACCTCGATAGTAGTAATAGTACTTGGTCGTTCTGAGACTTGACCCGGTGACCTTCTGGTTCCCAAGTCCCTCAATCTGAGCCACCACCACTGATTGCAATCAGTGAAAGCATACATTCTTCATACATATCAAAGAAAAAACCGTTACCTTATACTGTATGTATGTGTTGACCTCTTATAGAGTCAACTACTTTTATAATCAAACAATATGTATGTATTTATACAAAACTATTTAGAAATGAGCATTTTCACAAGAATATAAAGGTGTGTGAGTGTTGCATTATATCCATCCCTAGTATGGAGCACATAAGGCCAAATCATACTTTCTCATCAAGGTGTTGCCATGGTTGCATACTTATGCCGTAATGGATGATTCATAGCTCAGCGTAGGATTAATCCAGAGTGTTGTATTATGAAGGAGATGACTGTGTCATGCATCATCAGGCCTCTTTATTAATGCTATTGAAAAGGGTTGCTTTTAGAATGTCTCAATCGGTATGCTGTTTGTGTAGCGTTACAGGAAAAAAGTCTATTGCAGTAAAACATTTTAAGGTTTTCAAGCATGAAGAGTGAGCAGAAATATCAAACCAGGTCGTCCGCAGTCGGTGATCTGACCAGTGATCTCTTCTGCGTCCATTAGGTGGTGCTGTGACACTGAGAGTCACTGTGACTTCTCCTTATGTGAGGCTTCCTCTCCGAACTGTAGAAATCCCTCCAGCTGTTGACGTAGTTTCCATTGATCTGGAGCCAGCAGCAGAATACTAAGCACTGCATAGTCAGGCGTTGCTTTTCTCGCCCCGGCTCCTTGTAAAAGAGAGTCAAGAGTCTTTTACAGTGAAACATATAATCGGCTGAAAGGATGTCTAATCCAAAAAGAATGTTGGGAAGATTATGTTTGCACCGATTTATGAAATAATGAAGCTAAATGCCTCGCAGTCTGGCTCGTTATCCATCTTTGTTATTTTTACTTCACTTGGTGTTACATGGAGGGGTTTTTAGCGAGGTCCGCGAATGAATGAGAAATGCCACATTCTGGTTCTGTTATAACTCACAAGCCTTCATCGCCCATTTTGTGTGAGCGCGTGACGTCTGCGTGTGTGATGACGCAGCACCTGGGAGATAGTCAGTGCATAATTACACGGGTCTAAAATAAGCCCAGAGCCACAAAAGGTGTCCTTCAGCAGGCGAAGCACTACTATCAGCACTCTGCACGCCTGCTGGGAGACAATTACATTATGAGGTCCGGATGGGCACTGCATCACTGCCGCCTTATCACCCTGACACTGCTTTTCTCACCGATTCAGCCCACATCGTGATAATTAAGGGACAAAATCTTCATTATTTTGCTACAGCTGTTATGCTTCTCATATTGGTGTTTCCTTACAGTACCTCATTGACTCTTTAAGCTTTGCGGGATGCCTTGACTCCCAGTGATTAATGAGATTATTATGTGCATCAATTAATAAATGAGTTTATCATCTGTCAGGCTGTTAATCCCCCCACTCACTGCTGCAGCCTCCTACTTAGGTCAACCACCTCACAGGAAGAGGATGTGTGTTTATGATTGTTGTGATTTAATTGACCTTTTGTAATGTTTGTTTTTCAGGAATGCTCGAGTACGACCCTGCGAAGAGGTTTTCCATACAGCACATAAGGCAACATAAGTGAGTGACTTAGTACATTGCATTAATTATCCCATGTACAATAATAATAATAATATATATATATATATATATAATAATATTTATTTGCCGATAAACAACATGCTTAGACTCCTGAGCACTTGCTTTTTTGTATTTACATTTTCATTTTCGCCCCTGCCCGTGGCTTCTAGCTGGGTGCGTAAGAAACACCCTCCGACTGAGCCCCCCGTGCCCATCCCTGCCAACGCAGAGAGCAGGGATCCCTGGAGGAGTATGACGGTGGTGCCCTACCTGGAGGATCTGCACGGCTACACCGAGGAGGACGATGACGAGCTCTATGACCAAGAGGATGAGATCATATACACTCAGGACTTCACGGTGCCAGGTGAGGGTGAGCTCAGACCTTCCTTACAGCTGGACTCAAGACGGATTTAGATGTTATTGGACTATATTGTGCAGTATGAGAGCAATCTGTGTCTTTCAGTGTTGTTTTCGGTTACTCCTCTATTGTTTCCGTTTCGACTTTGAGGGACAAGAAACGGTCTGTTTGTCTTTATCAGGGTTTTGTCTAAACCAGGTAAGGGGTAACAGAAAAGTCGTACTTTCGGCATGGCCCTTGTACTAAAATGCAGATTTTAAAGTGATGCCAGAAAACAATATTTTTGTTTGTCAATAATGCTACAATTACTCCAAAGATATATAAATCGTGTCAAATATATCGTCCATCAGATGGCAAAAACAGCTTTGTTTTTACGGAGCTCGGATGTTGCGTTGTTGTTAACGTCCACGGCGCCATCTTGTATACGGGCGTCATGTTCTTTCGAGAATTGATATATCTCATATGCAAGATCAGCACCACAGTACTGCCCTCATACTATATGTGTCTAGAAAAAAAACCTGTTTATTGTCCTTAATAATGTGTTACAGAAAGATTGCCAGTTGTTGCAATTTTCTGTCTCTGTTGTTTTATTAACAGGTAGATTGGTGGCTACAGATGGTCCAATTGTTAAACCCACCTACCAAGCTGTGATTGGTTGACTGTACCTATTAAACAATCTGTGCACAGGGCTTAGATGTGAAAATAGATCTACAGGTCTGGAACAAAATAGACTTCATGTTGAATTGAGTTTACTGTTGTTGTGAACTGTGTGTACAAACCTTTTTGATCAGTGTGTTCACTGACTGGTGAATAGATAATGGTAGTATCTTTATTTTCCATTTAATTTGTTCCCCAACTCTTCTTTTATCTTTTCCCCTAAGAATGCAGATCCTTTATCTGTTGCTAGGCAACAGCTGGTAATAATAAATGCGGTAGTCGGGTATCTAGAAGTGTTGCCCCACATAAGACCCAAGCGGAGCTGCAGAGCTGTGAATGAAGTGATCTAAAAATAGTCCAGTGAGATGGTTTTGGTGTGGGAGTATGAATGGTTTCCAGGGTTCACTCCCACAGGATGCTCCATGTGAATGAAGGAATAGAGTGTATGGTAAATGAAACCACAGTATGACCTGATGTTTCTCTAAAGCAGTATCTACCTCTCACTGCTTTTAATCTCTTTACGGTGTTACTGTTTTTGCAGTCATTTAAAGTGTCCCTCAGCTCCAGTTGCATATACACACACACACACACACACACACACACACACACACACACACACACACACACACACACACACACACCACACCACACACACACACACACACCTGCACTTTCCAGTAAGGGCATACTTCTCAGTTGATTTCCTCTGGTTATTATTTGTCTTGTTTCTCATGGTTGGTCATCTGACCTGACATTTAGCTGGTGCTGTTGACAAATTAGCTTTCTTTTCAAAGGTCCCTTATTAGGACACTTGTTCATAGTTCTTACAGTTGTAGTCATTTTCATCCATTAAATCATTCACAGTGTGCACACTCATTACCTCGCGCTGACTCAATGAAGCAGTCGGCACTTAGGAATCTGTGATGGATTGGTTTTGTTGTGCGTGTGTTTTTAGGACAAGTGGAGGAGGAAGATGTGTACGAGGGGCATGCAGACCACAGTCCAGCTCTGGCCAAGCCAGCGTGTGTGAACGGGACAGAGGGGGGGTCTCTGAACAGCAAGGCCAAAGCCGAACGCCGATCCTCCTCTTCATCAAACCCCTCTCGTAAAGGAGTCTCCACAGCCAGCAAGATCCGCAAGCTCTCCACCTGCAAACAGCAATGACCCCCTCCTCTTCCTCCCTCGGCAACAACCCTCCTGGTGAGTGTGGAGACTGAAGAGCTGTCTGAGAATATATTATATAATTAATAGGTGTAAATCGAATATGAAAATCTACATTTGACTGTGAAAAGGGTCGGTCTCGGCCCATCCACTTTATATACGACTGAAGCCCCACAACATCACTTTTGAAAGAGAAATGTAAAATTGGGTCTAGCTGAACATGGAATTCATTAAATGTATTTTAATTAAATCTGAACTTCTTTGAAGTGATGTAAACAAACCACCTATCAATCAGCTCGACTCTTGAGGAGATTGTCAGCTCCTTGGCGACCCTCCCCCCTGCTGCCACTTTATTGAGGTTTTGGTTTGAAAAATGAGTTGGTATTGTATAAATGACTCTTCATTTCTACTTCCCAAATCAGCCGGTCCTCGTCCCTGCAATGCTTTCCAAGCACGCAAAACAAATAAAAGAGAACAGAAGAAAGGTAACCCTGCATCAGGCGCTGCCAGTTATGACATTCCAATTGACAACAATGACATCAAATTGATCTTGTTGCTGTGCTTACTGGCACCGTAATCTGTGGAGACACAGTTTCATAGACATTATCTGCATAAATTAATAATAATAATAATTCATTGCATTTATTAGAGCGCTTTTCTGAATGCTCAAAGCACTTTACATTACATATTACACATCAGACCGGTAACAGTGAATACTGTGGACAATACCCACGGGAGCAAATGATATAGTATATATTATTATTAAATAGAAGAAAGAATATTCTGACGTCATGTTTTGCCACCCACTGCTAGTAGACTATTAAGAAAAGGTGTGAATTGTGCTTCAGCAGTGTTTGGAAGAAACCTTTCCATACAGCAGACTGAGGGAAAAGATTAAGATAATCCCGGCAGGAGAGCAGATGAAATGATAGGAGGGATGTGTTGAGAATGCGTCAGAACAGACAGAGACGTAAAGATGAGTATCAGTGAAGAAGGAAGAGAGGCAGAGGAAATCAGGGAGGAGGGGGCGAGTCTACGTTTATATTCAGAAAGCAGTGCTCTGACTCACCACCCACACATGGAGGCTTGCCATACAGTCACAGAAACCACATCTGGACTGGTCCGGTCTGGAAGCATCAGTCTTTTTCACTCTGTTTGGATTCTTTAGCCTTCAGGGGTTCGTCAGCATCCCTCATTCAAGCTGAGATTCATGCTGAAGCGTACGCAGACTTTTTAACAGGTTGTCCTCCTCTCTTCCCAGTTACCACCCACAGTTTGCTCTTTCAATCTCTCGCACATACAAACCAGTCACGGTGTGAGGCTGTTTGTCATGAGTGCAGTGCAGAGGAGATGCTGTGTATTCATTTGTTCAGGCGATGACTCACTCTGGATGAGATCAAGTGGGCTGTGGGATGTTTGTCTCTCTCTTTGCCTCAATGGAGATGAATCTTTCCCTGTTAACACCCCCAATTTCTACTGTCTTGTAATATAAAAGAAACACTTTTCTCACCAAAATTGGCAAATTATATGCAGGGTAACATTCCAAAAAATACCTTTCTTTTTGCCAGTAGTCGAGTATACCTTACTGCTATCTTTTCTGGCGTTCAACAGCACAAATGCACATGAAGCATGGTTAGTGCAACGGCTAAACAAATACATAAATAGAAAACGTAACGTAACAGAAAGCAAATCCTAATGCAGTTAAATAGTCAATGTCCAGGCAAGAACTTCGGTTTGTTCCTTTATTGTCTTGTATTCCAATAATGCACATATACAGAACAATTGTTTCACGGATGCCTTTCCTGTGGCTTCTCCTGTAGCATATCCTATGTTCCCTGATCAAAACCCATCGTCTGGTGCGCCAATCCCACCACCACCTGCTTCAAATGTATACTGATCACCAGGTGCCCAAGTCACCCAGTGCCAAAACCTCCTTCAAAATAAAAGCATAGAGAACTACTGCAGCTAAAATAACGATGATAAATAATGATTCATTTAATACAAACAAAAACAGCTAGAAAATAAATATTGAATTACTAAATAACATAAACCCTTGTGTAGCTCCAACAGTTAATAAACAGTCAAAATGTTACGTTAGGGTATTTTATATAACTGTTATATATTCAGGTTCTCTTTCCAACCCTCAAACCACAGTTGGTGATTGTTGTACAACAAGGCTGTGGAAAGGCTAACGGATGGTTGGGATGAGTTTTATTTTTGTTTCGCTTCAGTTTGAATGAAGTGTGTCATACGAAGTTCAGCGAGTAAAAATGACTGTTTCTGTCAAAGGATGCTTTGAAGAGAGCATATTAATCATACATTTTTTTACGTTAATAAATTCTACTTATTGTCCACATCTGTATTTATTTTACATTAAACAATTGTCATAGCATTGCACTGGAAAAATAATGAAAATGACTGAGTCCAACCAGGTGTCATGTTTCCATCACTGCCGATCAGTGCTGGATCACATTTCTCCCGGAAACGAAAGACGATCGTAACCTTTCCCATTATTGGCAAAACCCACAGTGAGTGTTTTCTGTCAACTGTGGAAAAGGCGCTGAGGGGAACTCCACCTGACTGTCTGTTTTACTCTGTCCTCTGTCTCTCTCAGGTTGATCTGTCCCCGTCCTTCTGTGTCCGGAGTCCTCACCGTTGTGACAGAAACCTGCTGACGTTAACGCCCTCCCCCCTCCTCGGACCCCCGGCCTGCAGAGTCTTCTGAAGATGCGGTATGAGCGACGGGGAGGAGGAGGACAGCATGAAATGTTCTTTTTGCTCTGAGACTGAGGCACTGGCTGTGAAGATGATGTTTTTTTTTCTCCCATATGTTGGCTCCTTATAACTCTTGTCATCCAGTTCTGTCACCCCCCCCCCCCCCCCCCCCCCCCCCCCCCCCCACTCCCACTCCCACCCTGACATCCTCTATAGAGGCCCGAGTGTTTTTCCGGACTTTACAAACACCATCACCCCCTGTACCCCCGCCCATCCACCCCCTCTACCCCACCTCCTGTTTCTTTGACTACCTTTTTGTTTTTACTGAACCCTAATGGCAGATTTCAAGACACATTGTGATGTGTGAAAAAATTAAAAAGAAAAGATAACAAAAGTTATGAATAATTCTATATTTAAATCTATAATGAGAATAATTATGATAGTACTCTACTACCACCGTCATAAAAACTGCATGCTGTACAGAGCTGGAAGAAAGGGAAAGTGCTTGGTTTGTGGACAGACTGAAGCTTTGAGATCCACCTGTTGGGGATGTTTGATTTCCATTTAGGTTTCTTTCTTTTCTTTTCTTTTTTCCAATGAATATTTTTTAATTATTATTTATATAAAATATGTCCCAAACAGGCTATTTTGTTGGATGATCCTTTCTGTTTGATTTTGAGACGAGCATATTTTTTATCATACAGTACACCTCAATGTCCTGTTTTTTTTGTGATATTTTTTCCGCTGTCACAATCAGCCCGTCGTCTGTTTTCCAGCGAAGCTCTTTGTTACGCTGATCACATCAGTGGGAGCTCTGCCCCCCCCCCCCCTCTTCCGCAGCCAGGCCCATCGTCAGCCCCTCGCTGGGAATAGATCAGAGAGCAGGTGAGTCACAACTCTGAGGGAGGGAGAGAGAGCAGCACGGAGAGATTCTCCGTTGAGCGAGACGCAGGAAAAATGATGATGAGATGTCTCACATTAACAGAGTGTTTCAGCTGTGTGATTGGTTCATCAGGACAACTTAGATGAATCTGCCGTCATGACGGTTTCACACACATCAGCTTACGTTTAACACATCACAACAGCATAGTCACAATTTCATGAGTCACTTTTTTCCACTTTTTTTAATTCAGAAAAATGTTCAGTCCAAAATGTTTATGTGCCTCAGTTGGTCCCACATGGTCTGGCCTTTGTCAAGCCTGCGATACATTTGAATTTTCTGCGCTACTTGTTTTACAGTTAAGCAGATGGTTCAGCATGAATGAGGACTGAGACAGGAGTTTTATTACATACATGTACCCAGGTCTGTGTGAAAGAGGAAAAAGGGACAAGCTGTACCTACTCGGTTTCCCAGGTGACATCGCACATCATGACATGCAGCAATGTTTTCATGTTGAAGAGATGCAATTTGACATGAATGCAAAACGAATAATTACATTTGACATCCATACTGGCAGAGAGAGAGTAGAGAGAAAGCTATTCACCCTGTGATTTTACCATGTCAAGACATAATATCTGCAGAGTATTACCTAGAGGCTAGAGTTGCCAGTATTCTATCTTTTTCTTAATGTCAACAGAAAAACAAAACTAGCAGAGTTCCAATTTCTTTTTAACTGTTGGGCCCCTTGGTTTTAAGCTAACGTTACTTGAATGAGGCTTTATAGTGCAATTTTGGAGCAACAATTTGTGCTATAGTTCATATTTATCATGTATGTGATTCATTCAAAATAACTTAATAGTGCGGTGTATAAGAAATGAAGAATGTCACTCACTCCAGAAATGTGGCCCAACATTTTATTATTTGAAAAGGAATAATCTCTACCAGACATTGGCTGCATGACCTGATAGTAGGATGAATTAGTTAATGTTGTCTTTTTGTGGCATTTGTTGACAGTAAGACCAACATAGGATATCACCAGACTCGTGTATCATTTAGTAACACTGAGTAAATATGTCCCATGACACTGCTATTTAGTTTCAGCCTCTTCTTTCACAACCTCAACTCTCTGTCACTGGACCATCTGTCTCCAGGCCTGAGAGGCTCCTGTGTCACCGTTAGTATCATCTGTCAGTCCCCCCCCCTCAGCCGAGTCTCAGCAGTGAAGCAACACTTTGCTCAAGCCCACGGAAGCTCCTGGATACCGCCTGCTTAATTATGATAAATAACAGGAAAAAGACTAACCAAAATCCTATAAAAATAGATGAAATATGGGTACAAAAACTCTGGATGCACATATTTTCACTGTGTTGGCATTATAGTCTGGGTCTCCCATCTGTTTAGAACGTGTATTCTCCAGATCTGATGATATGGTGTTAATGAAAGACCACTGAATTACTGTAATGATTTCGTTTTTTTAACATGGTCAGTATTCTTCTTATTGCCAAATACAGAAACAGACAAGAAGGACACTTGAGGTTATGGTTTTTAAATGAGAGGAAACGGGTGACAGAAACTCCATCATGATCTTTCTTCCCATCAAAGTGCTTTTTGTTTTGAAGATAAAACTGTACAGTATCCACATACACATTGTTTGGACATAGAGTAGCATGCTAAAAAGTCACAGGTAAAAATATTACATTTTCTAAAGATGGGTCTATATTTCAAAGCTATGTAATGAATGCATTTGATTTTAGGAATGGATACCAATAAAGAAAAAGGGTGCATCACATGTCACATTGCGTCACAGTGGAAATAAAGGTCTGAATGGAAATGCGGGTAGAGACTGGCCTTCAAATAAATAAGTAAACTTCTCTCCCTCAGGATATCGCTGTGTTCTTGAAGTTTTTCCTAAATCGTCCATAGATTGAACTAGTATCTAACACATGATGACGTTCAAAGTGCTTTAGACAATTTTCCAGTCTGTCATCTTGAGATGATCGATATGCAATACAAGTTAAAAAGTAGATAGATAGAGTTATTGTTTACCGGTTATATGGGGCTGAAGCCAGGGGAGGCTGTGTGAGAGATGGTGAGCGCTCGCTCTTTTGCTCCCTGGCCGAGCTTCTCCGCAGAGCGCAGGCCGCCGTACAGCCTCTCCTCCACCGACACAGCCAGCTTGTCTGCCAGGCTGCTCTCTGAAAGAATAGCTTGACTGCTGTTGTTGTTTCTGTTGACGACTCTGGGATCCATGTGGCCCGTCTGTGTCGTCACCGTGCTCACAGACTGGCTAGTTGTGCTTTCTGTGCCTTTTCTTGTAGAGGCCTGGTTGCCCTCAGCAGTCGACTCACCACGGCTCTCTGTCACGTCGGTGCCTTCTGAGGTTGTATGGGCTTTACTCACTGCATCGTCCCCTGCGGCTCCTTCGCCGGACAGATCTTTGTTCTCTGTGCTCTCATTCGCTGCTTCCTCACAGGCTGCAACCTCGCTGGCTTCTTCGTCAGCGGCGCTCGCAATGCGTGAGAGTGTGCTGTGATACCTCATGTCAAGAGGGTAACTGGCACTGTCACCTCTCCTCAGTGGAGTGAACCTCTGCCTCTCCAAAGATGGGGAGTACCTACCCCCGGCGCCTGACCCTGGGTCGCTGTATTGCTTGTGTCTCTGCCACTGTTTGCGGAGGTGAACTCTGGATCGGTGCCTGGAGCGCAGCGGAGAATCCTGCTGGTCAAAACGCGGATCATGGCGGAGGAACTCGTTGAAAAGGGCATCCGTCTTCTCGTCAATGCTGTAGTCGCGGCGGCGGAGTCGAGGTTTGTGAGGACTAGAGGATTGTGGGATCTGCTTGATCAGCGGAGACATCAACTGGGGTTGTGATTCTGAAGGTTTCTGAGGGTGAAGTGATTTCAAAAGCTGAGATGGTTCTTGAAGGGTGACCGACTGCTTTCGAGTTTGAGATCTCGCCTTTGGTTTCCCCTCTGTCTCCGTTCTGTTGGCCACATCATCCTCCAGCTCCTCCTGGAACAGCCTGGCCTCGATGCTCTCGCACACTGAGCCTTTCCTCCCCGAGTTGGTGAAGAACAACCTTCTCTCAGATGCCGTCTTCCCTCGAGAAGTTCCCGGAGTCCCAAACAAGCGCATTTCCTCAGGGTGTCTTGAGGGTGCTTCAATGGAGGTGTAACCGCTGTCCATCTGGAGGAGCTTCCGGTTCCCTGCCTCACTCTCTCCTCCAGCCCCACTCCCCACCTCACTGTCCCCACCTGACGCTCCTCGGATCCCACCCTCCATCATCCCTCCGTCCCCTTCTCCCTCATGCTCATCGTCCAGGTCTTGGGACAAGCAGCTGTCCAGGCCATAGCGAGCTCCTGCACCCCCAAAGGACGAGACGCTGTCGGCATCACTGCGGATCGACTCCCGGTCTGTGCTGCTGTGGTCTGAGGAGGCGTATTGTTCTAGAGAGGCTCGCAGGCTCCAAATGTCTCTGTACAGGGAGGGAGGCGCCTCCGAGCTCTCCTGGCGAATCATGAAGGAAATGGATGAGCCTGAGTCGGTCCTTCGTCTGGCCTCAGCTCCAAACACCATCTCATCTCCGTCATCTACCTCGGCCTCGCTCTTCTTCCTCACAGCTGATGTCTCTGTGTCTTTAGTTGCTCCAAACATGTCTTCAGATCGTCCCTGTACAGCAGCTCCTGCACCAAACAAGTCATCTACCGATTCTTGTTCGTCCCCTGCTGCTTCTGTCTCTATAACCGCACCAAACTGTGTTTCTTCTTCTTCTTCGGTCCCATTCGCTGTGGCCTCCTCTTGCCTCGGCGCGTAACTCTCATTTGTTTGCGAACAGAGATCCTCTCTTCTGCCGCTGCTGCCACCTACCTCCACCATGTCCTCCAGTGTTACCCTGTATAGATGAACAACAGCCATTTTCATTAATGACGCTGGGAATGTAGAAGTGCATGTTATTGGATTACAGGAAGGCATGTACCTGCTGAGGAAGACCGAGGACATGGGTGCTGTGTCGGAATGAGACAGAGACTCTGCAGAGAGGGACTGGAGACCACTGGTCTGGATGGGGGACTGTGGGAAAGAGTCCATGACCTCGTCTCTGAGAGATGAAGAGTCGTTTTCGGTGTGATCCGTGGTTTCACTTGCTGCTCTCTGCCTCTGGAAGGGCCTTCTCTTGGGCGATCCTGGTAGAAATTCACATACAAAATAGCGATGTTTTTCACAATTTCTTTATCAAAGCTACTTTTGAAGACATAATCAACAAATGTAAGCTACTGATTGATT